TGAAAATATTGGATGTAGCAAAAATTCCTGTCGAATTACAAGCACATAATGTTGACTCCACGTGGCACTATTATTAGTTTATATAAATCCAAACTTCAAACATAGATATCAAATTTGTTGAAATAACAATCATAAATTTTAAATATCCATGAGAATTTCTACGTCCAATTTACAAAGAAAACTCGAAACAAAAAAAAAGTGCTTGTAATCATGTAGTCAGCGTGGTGTTTATGGTCATTTATTATTGAATTTTCAAAAGAAGGGATTGAAATGTCACCGGGGCGCATCTACAAGAACAACAGTTTTATATCATGTAGCCAATAAATAATAATAAACATTGCTGACGATTTTAAAAATAAAACTTCGACTATTTTAACATGTCCATTAATTTCATTTTCATCTTAAATTAAGATTTTTCTTTTAACGTTTAAATATTATATTTTATTATTGTTTACAAAGATGGCTAATAAACATACATACATTTCTCTCATGTGAAACATTCGAAAATATTGAGATATACAACATCACTTAATCAACAATCCATAATTATATTCATAAAGAAATAATTTTTTAAAAACTTGTATCTACATATATGAAAATACAAGAAGCCATCAACGATTAGTTGCTTGAATGTCTCAACTTGGCGATGAGAAAGGTGAAAATGAGATGGAGTGAGGATTTATGATGATTATGGCGCATTTTTGAGAAGAGATTTTTGATTTTTTTGAGTACTTTTGGGTATGTTGAATGATTTACTGACTAGATTTATTAAGTTTGGTTCATCAAATACTGTTCGGTTAACTCTAGTTGATCTTTGCTAGCTCTATTAGATTTGTACTAGCTTTTTTAGCTTTGTACTAGCATTACTAGCTTCTTACTCGCTTTTCTAGTTCCGTACTAGCTCTATTAGCTTTGTATTAGATTTATTAGAGTTGTACTAGATTTACTAGCTACGTACTAGATTTACTTGCTTTGTACTAGCTCTTGTAGCTTTGTATTAGCTTTATTTGCTTTGGACTGGATTTACTGGCTTCGTACTAGCTTTATTAGCTTCGTACTAGCTTTACTAGCTTCGTATCAGCTTTTTCAGCTCCGTACTAGCTCTTTTAGCTTCATACAAGATTTTCTAGCTCCGTACTAGCTCTTTTAGCTTCATACTAGCTTTACTGATTTCATCTTAGCTTTACTAGTTTCGTACTAGCTCTATTAGCTTTGTATTAGCTTTATTAGCTTTGCACTAGATTTACTAGCAACCTACTAGATTTACTAGCTTCGTGCTAGTTTTACTACCTTTAAACTAGCTTTACTGGTTTCATCCTAGCTTTACTAGTTTCGTCCTAGCTTTACTACCTTTAAACTAGATTTAATGGCTTCGTACTAGCTTTACTGGTTTAATTGTAGCTTTACTAGCTTTGTACCAGCTTTTTTAATTTTGAACTAGCTTTGTACTAGCTTTGCTAGCTTTTTACTAGCTTCTCACTGGTTTTTCTAGCTATGTTAGCTTTATTTCAGTTTTAAACTAGCTTTTCTAGCTTCTTACTGGCTTTACCAGCTCCATACTAGCTCTATCAGCTTAGTACTAGCTTTACTAGCTTCATACTGGCTTTTCTAGCTCCAAATTAGCTTTACTAGCTTAAATTCTTAGATACCAGCTTTTCTAGTCCTGAACCAGCTCCACGAGATCCATACTAACTCTAATAGCTCTGCATTAGGTATCCTAGCTTTTTACTAACTCTACTAGCTCCAAACCAACTCCGTTTAAATTCTACAAATAATATTAGTCATTGAAAAATCCCATGCAACCATTCTAATCCACAATGCATGTGTTTGCAATAATAAAGTCATGAATGTAAAGAATTTAAATTAAAAATCAATTGTGAAACTCTAATTATAGATCAATTGAAATTTTTGACAAATTTGTGATCAAGCCCACAATACTTAACAGCCACCCCTATTTAATTAATCAGACTTCTTAAATAAAACTTGAGACTAGACTGCATTTTTTTAAAATATTATTGAGCAATAAAATTCCCATATAATAAAATTAATAAGATATTAAGAGTCAGATATTTCCATGAGGATATGGAAATAGACGTAAAATTTACTTCTTTTTTGTTCATAGCAATCTAAACATTCTTGTTTCGGAGTTTATGAATAAAAGATAGTGTTGCATATGTAGTAATAAAAATAATTTGATGGTCTATAATTTAATGTGTTTGGTGGACATTAAAACTTTCTGAATTAAAGCTGATGACAGCTGAGAATTTTTTGAGGTGCTAGGAGATTTGAAGGTGCTGACGATGAAACCTTAGCTAACCTAGAAAAAGACAATTGATGTCCCAGATCATCAAATAGACAAAATGAGCCAATTCCATCTCAATTATCACCAATAATAATGCAACCTCTAAACTTTACAAGCTTCAGCAGCAGTCAAAAAGAAAAGAAGAAGAAATTATTGAAATATACGACGATGTGAAAAATAAAACAATCAATCAAATTATGAAACAAAATAAAAACTCGAAGAATAAGAAGCCAATAAGCGTAGAATATGAGAAGCAATTCCAAACCGTCATATACAATATAGATATAGAGACACAAAAATAAAAAATAAAAAAAAATTATAATTTTTCTTTCTAGCTGCTTCACCCCGATCGTGGTTAGCCAGCAAGTCGCAACTGATCAAACGAAAATAACCGAAAACCTAAATTTACTTGGTAGCGTTTGAAAGTAATTTGAATAAATTAAAAACATTTTTTTGTTTTCAGTTTTCCTCTTTTTCTTGTGTCTTTATTAGCGCTATATTTTGATAGGGAAATGGGCCTGTTGTCTGTTTGTCTATACTCTGATCCTTTTGTTCGTTTATCCTAAGGAACGTTTTTAGAGAGGTCTAAGATTTACGGTTCAAACTTTGTTGCAAAGGGGGGGATGTGCAGGGTGCAGGTAAGGCAGGGACAGGGGGAAGGGGGCAGTAGGAAGAGAGAAGGGGGCAAGGGGAAGGAGGAAGGGGGCAGGGGGAAAGGAGAAGGGGTAGGTAGGCAGGGGAGCATGGGCAAGATGGGGCAGGGGAGCAGGGGCAAGGTGGGGCAGGTGGGGCAGGGGCATGGGGGTCTAAAAAGTTGTTTTTGACGTTACGTAAAAAGTGGACGTTACCCTAAAGAATGGTCCTAATCTTCGTCCATGCAAAATTAATCATCAGAGGAGGGGAGGGGGGTCCTAAAATGTAGGATGGATACACCAAATGGGTCAATTGCAGGCGCATAGCTAGGAAGCTAGGAGATACTTTTTTTAACGTTAGAGCAGAGCTGAAAACCCAATACATCCTACCAGGAGAGGAGATGGGGGGGGGGGGGGGTCCTATTAGGTGTTGAAGCATGGATCAACCAAAAGTGGGTTTGACTAGATGCAGTGACATAAATCGATAGTAGCTACGGATCCCAAAATTCAATATCAAAATAGATTTTACTTCCTCTCTCAATCAAGAATGCGCTCATGTCGATCATATATGACAACATGACTTTACAAGCTTCATTTTATATCGTCTCTCTTTTATTTAATACCTGTGACTCAAAAGCCGGGGAATTGGCTTTTAAAAGTTCTTATCTTTATTTAATAAATATTTATATTTGAAAACTCAATCACCTCGCTGAAACCGAATGTATTGGTTAAAGATGCAAATGAAGTAGTTATTTTGTGTGTGATTTAAAATTGATATTATCACTATAATTATGCATAATTGCCTCGCTTAAACGCTTTTGCTCGTCTCAATCCAATTCGGTATGTGTGTTTCTCATCCATTGTTTATAGTTAAAAGCAATTTCTTTCTGATTAGTTTATGTCTTTTGATTTCTTCTGATTTTTGTTTCATCTCTTCTTTTCTTAATTTTTATTGAGAGCACATTCCTCAACTGTTGATCGTTGCCGGCGTCTTATTGAAAGGAAGCAAATTAGTTCATTAAATAAACAGACGACGGCTCCGTTTGATTTCTTCATCATACGCTCTCCATGACTTGATATACAACAAAATACTAGTAGTTTTTGCTGTATCGATTGAGATGATCTTTCTTCTTTCGATTTGCATGCCTTTTGGCTTGATTAAGAGCAACTAGCTGTCGAGCAACCAGCAATCACTCGAATCATAATTCTTGTACTGATAATTTATCTGGATGGGGTATGGAATGCTCGATTCTTATTGAGCTTATGGTAAGCTGTTTATGCAGTTTGTGATTAAACTTGTTCAATCGTGATATTGACCAGATTAGACAAGTGGTCGTTCAATTATGACGTCCGAAATTAACGGTCATTTTTCTAAAACGAACAATGGGTTTCTAGGAATTTCTATTGTTCTTTTCTTGCTGACCCCCGACCCCCCCCCCCCCCCCCCCCCCCCCCCCCCCTGTCATAAGTGAACGGCTCTAAGTGAAATCTTTCGGTCTTTAAAGGACTTTTGCAAATCCATCGAAAAACAGGAGCTCATTGATCCAAACTCATTGAACAATAAGATAATAAGATCAATATCAATCGAGTTCAATCTCCTAAAATTCCCAAAATTTTCACACACTCTCATCCAAAACAAAGCTATTTAATAATTAATCAATTCCTTTTTAAACTGTTTAACAAGCATTGAAAACCGAGAAAAATTATTTTTTGTTCATAACTCGCCATGTGTACACGTTACTACAATATTTAAAAAAACCTTTCAAATTAATTAAATTAAGTTATAAATGTATATTTAATTAAAATCTCGTTTTCGTTCAAAGCGATTTCATTTAAACATCAAAACATATAAAGCTCGCTTCAAACACACAACACCGCCATATGACATTGATGAGTTTAAAAAGCAATTCAAAACATCAACTTGTTACTCACATGATGTCTCTCTACCGACTCATTTCACTAAACTCGACTTTGCATAAATAAACAAATAAGACAGAATCGATGAATAGAGATTGTCAATTATTCACATTAAAATAATTTTTCAACTTTTCAAAAGAAATGTTTAAGAAGAAAGAAGTAAGAAAAGAGATCGGTGGTGGATGAAAAGAAGTGAATATGAAATAAATAATGTTTTGCAGCATAAAATTGAAATTGAGGATAAAGAAGTTCATTTTGGTGCATTTACATCAACGTTTTGAGATTAAGATGTCTTCAAACTTGAGTTTTCAGGTTCAGGTGTCTTCACACTCGTATTTTGAGATTCAGCTGTCTTTACACTTGAGTTTCCAGGTTCAGGTGTCTTCACACTCGTGTTTTGAGGTTTAGGTGTCTTCACACTAGAGTTTTAAGGTACAGGTGTCTTCACACTAGAGTTCTAATGTATAAGTAAATTTACATAAGATTTATAAGGTTCAGATGTTTTCACAATATAGTTTTGAGGTTCAGTTGGCTTCGCACTTGAGTTTTAATGCTCAGCTGTCTTCACACTTGAGTATTGAGGTTCAGGTGTCTTCACACTTGAGTTGTAAGGTACAGGTGTCTTCACACTAGAGTTCTAATGTATAAGTAAATTTACGTAAGATTTATAAGGTTCAGATGTTTTCACAATATAGTTTTGAGGTTCAGTTGGCTTCGCACTTGAGTATTGTGGTTCAGCTGTCTTTACACTTGAGTTTTTAGGTTCAGTTGTCTTCACACCAGAGCATTTAAGTCTAGTCTTTTACAAAAATGCGCCTTATTTCCGCTAAAATCCCATTCCAACTCATCTCATTTTTTCTGTTTTGGAATGTTCATCAGCAATATTGAATTCACGAAACCATCATCATCATCATCATCATCTCAATTATCATAAATCACTTACGTGCTCCTTTGTTCATCCTATACACACATAAGAAATAAGAAATTAATTATCATTTGTATCGCTTCATTGTCCAGAGTGTGTGACTGAGTTGAAACTTTTCTTAAAGTAATTACACTCCAATTAGATTGTTGAAAATATTATGAATTGAAAGAGACATCATGAAAGGATTTATGCCGTTTGAGAGTCATATGTGTCAAGTTTGAGATAAATAGCTGTAAGTCGTGTTTTAACTACAAAACTCTTTTCAAACTTTATTAATTCTTTAAATATCATTTGTTATGTGTTGCGGCCGTAGAGCTTTTTCTTATAAATAAACAAACAAATATGAAAATAATTCATTTTATGGTTCGACCGAAAAAGAACCGCAAAATGTTATTTAAATGACTTTAAGGTATAAATATGTGGATAGAGATGGATACAATCGTAGACATAGTCGAAATAAATAATCAATCAAATATGGTTGACGTTTATTAGCGTGTCGTAAATATAATTTAACTAATAATAAAGAAACAGGCATATGTGATGAAGCCATTTTAAACAGCGCCTAATTTAGCCCTCGTAAATGTCACTCATGTTTTCACTTTGATGTACTTTTGATATTTATGGGGGGAATTAAGAAGTTCTTGGGCTGAAATTTTATTGGATGGATTCGATTGAAACTGTAAAAATAGGAGACGATACAATCTCGAACAGCACAAGTCGGTTAATCGAATAGAAATCGGGCATTAAGCCAGCGTAGCGATCTTCTGGAATGTCCAAGGAAATAGGACTAAGGGCCGATGGAGAATTACTTGGCGTACAACTGTTGAACAGGAGGTGGAACAACAGAACAAGAAGCTACAAGATAAAGCAGCTTTGGTCCAGAATCGAGTGCGATTCAAATGCTTTGTGGATGCCTTACGCTTCAAAGTGGAGCAATAGGAACCCATCATCATCATTAAGCCAGCGTAACTCTGACATGATTCTGGATTCTTCATCAGCTGAGCTACAGCAATTTGGTGCCGGATTTCTATTCGATTAACTGACTTGTGGTTGTTGACTTGGAGACAAGGTAGCGATACAGACACCCGTGGGTAACTGTACAATCCCTTGATAATTTATAGGGTTTTTTCTTACAAAAGCATACAAATTCTGATAAAACCTCACAAATTATCAAGGAATTGTAGGTTCTCAGCTGTGCACACGTGCCTGTATAGCAACCCTGCTTGGAAACTTAATAAGAGACTTAAAGAGTTGTTTCTGTGTTATTTAAATTGGTCGATTAGAAAAGCGAATCTGTTTATGAAGATTTGGCTGAAAATACTTCATTTAGGAAGCCACTTGACTTACTTAAACTAGCTAAGTTAAGAACTACTTGTCAATATACTCCTCAGTGTAGTGTAAGGTTATCAAAATTCCTAAGTTCGATCCTAGAGTGTCCATAATTGGAGGTCAAAGAAATAACCAGGTTGCATTGAGTTTCGAACCCAAACTCCTGCGCAGATGTTGCATTAATAAAATAACAGCAGCATTAGAAGACCACGTCACTCAACTCAGTATCTTCAACCTATAAATTTTGATTAATTTTGACCATCTCAATGCATCCATACCAACCACAATGTTTATTTAATAGAAATGCTTTTATTACTTTTTTTTTCATGAATAAATAAATTTTCTCCTTCATCAAAAGAGATATAGAGACAAAGAAGCAGCACAAGAGATCCTCATTGATATGCCCATCGACACAACATTATTAGCATCCATCAGTTTGCATGATAAGGTCATAAAACAGCTTTTTTTTGTGTGTTGGCTCGTAAAAAAATTGTTCAGCTTTTTACGACCGAGGAGAGTAAAAATTACGTAATTATAAATCATTAATTCAAACGATCCAAACATACAAACACCTTTTATGTTGAATATGAATAAACAACAATGTAAACTCTTTTTTTATTATATTTTTTATTTATTATTCATTTTTCTCTCTGTAGTGCTGAAAAAAAAATATTTTTTTTATATTATAAAAAATGCAAATTAATTGAATGAGAATGTATCACTGGAGCAGACAATTTATTTTCCTGACTTTTTACGACTTTCCATAAATTGTGTCTTTTTTCGGAACATAAAAAAAGCTCTCGCCATGCTCATGTCACGATTATTATTATAAAATGAATTCCATGTTATGTTAGGTCAATGCCAAAAAGAAAGTTATAATTTAAGACTGAGACAGCGAATCTTAGATTTTTTTTTTATTTCATTTCTCGCCCTCCCATTGGTAATGATATACGCACACTTAATGTCTCCATCGATGTCGTGTCTTTCTTGTTTATTTTCATTTTGGAATAGTTTTTAGGAGAGGAAGACAACCATATCATTAGAACTTAGTTCTCATCTTTATTACCCTTAAGTAGGAATTTATATTAGGAAGTTTTTGAGGTTATGTTATGTTATGGCGCATTTTTCAATCAGTTTTATATTAAGTGGATAGAATGTAGACTTAATTCATGTCAGAATGGATCAAACTAGAACAAATACAATGTAGATGGGTGCTTAATGGCTTCCATGAACTTTATCGGAATAGTACAAGTCGGTTAATCGAATAGACACTAAGTGTAGATCTCCCTATAACTGCTATATGTGTATACTAATGTAAAACAAGTCGGGTTCGATGGGAATCGAACATACAACCTCAAAAGAGGCGATCTCTGCCCACTCGATCAGAGATCCCGGCCACTCAGTCACCAAGGTTCTTATCTCACTTTGACTATCCGTTATATACATACAACCAGTTTCACAGTGAGCCCTATTCTCAGGCCTAAGGTTTCAATCTCGGGATTGAAATGTGTTTCATCCCTGGATCAAACTCGGGATTCAGTACATTCAGTCAGCCCTTTGCAATTATTTGAGCCATATCAACACTTAGTTGGTGCAACTCTGGCATCGTTCTGGATTCGATTTGAGTCGAGTTAAGTATATGCTCCCTCTTGTAAACCTAGCTAGTCCACAATAAGAAAGCAACTCAAAAATCCATGCTTCATCAAATAAAAAGATCCCAAATAGCCAATCATTCAGTCAAAAATGGATCATTCCTTCATCACATCCCCAAAAAATGTCCAACACAACACGCTAAAAAAAGGAACAAAATAATTTAAGTGGCTGAAAAGCACAGAAACAAGAGCAGCAAAATAGAAAGAAACGAAAAAAAAAAATTGTGTGGTCTGTTTCAAGTGCCCTGCTTTGAAGGATCCCGAAAAGAATTGTGTAATTTGAAAAATTAGATAAGCTAAAAGAGGATGAAAAGATCCTTCGTCTGATTTATAGCAACATCATGTCCATCAGCTTGTATAGACTACTATTTTCATGTCGACGATTTTGTTTGCCTCTACCATTGGGGAAATTGATGATCGTTCACCATTATTTTCATTCCTTTTGAATGGGTAAATATTGTGATGTCTGTTTTCACATCAAAAAACGAGTTTCATTTCTTAAGATTCGTGAATGAAAGGATTCTCGAATGAAAAATGAAATTGACCCAAAAAAAAAAGTTTTTAATGACGTATCAAGTCATTAAGTGATGAAAACATGTTTATAGAAGCGACTGAATTGTATCGAATTGGAAAGTGATGGACCACCAATGTTCATCATCACTGCTGTGTGTGTCTCATGCATGAATACTTTCAAGTGTCGCACATAGATAATACGTTTATGAGTTTAAAGCAATTATGATGTTTTAAAGACTTCTTTAGTAGAAACCCGTGCCTAATGTCGGCATTTTTTTTTTGTCAAAAGAATATTTTTCTCTTAAATAAGCATGACGAAAGACTTAGTCAAAATTCCTTCAAATGAATCCTGAATATGTTTGGATGGTGGTTGCTTGTTGGATAAGAATTGAGTTTTGTTGTCTTCAGTTTGGGCTGTTGCAGCTGGAATTTATTAAGAATCTGTATCTTTGGCTGTGATTCTTGAAAACTTTCAGAGTAAGACATTCAAGTCCACTCTTTTAAGTGACTCACTAGTGCAGCCGTACGATGAACTTAAGTTAACAGGCTGCCAGGAGACCTGTTTCAGCTCCCATTGATAAAGTCTTTAAGAATTTTCTTTGTAGATGGCAAAAGATCATGCGGTCGTTCTAAGAACTCTTGGAAAGAAGCTGTTGATAGAGACAGTATTGCATTTGGTATGAGTAATTGGGAAACGGTAGCCAGCGATAGAGTCAGCTTCAGGCGGCATCTTAGGGAGGCTATGGATCTGTACAGCTAGCGAAGTAAGTAAGTACTAGTGCAACCAGAGCAAAGATTGAGGAGCATTGATTAAAAGCATTAGAGTGACTGAATTACAGAGTAAAATGATTCTTTGGTGCATAACTACTGTGCCTCAAATCTAAGATTTCAGTAAAACAAACTTAGTAAAATACTAGACACCAATAATCTGGCTGTAATGCTGCTTTAAAGTGACGTTTAAGAAAATTGTGATATTTTGGACCCTATAGCAGTGTTTCTCAAACTATGCTCCACGAAAAATATTTATACGTATCAATAGTGATTGTCAGCGTTGAGCGGAAACATGACGGATGATTTATTGCTCTGTGGCCTTAAAAGTTTGAGAAGCACTGCCTTA